GTGTTGGCGCCCGCAGGCAAATGCATTTTAGAAAACCAAAAAAAAAATTTAGAAAAAATTATACAGTAGGCAAACACATTAAAGAGTTCAAATTAAAATGTCCAGAATCTTAAACAGAAAAAACAATTTACAATGATTATCTATTTGAAGAATGATAATACAAAAGGCACCTGGATGTTATCAATATTTAAGTCTGTGAAAAAAATTCAACTAGACTCAAATTCCTAAAGAAAAATGTGAAGGGGAGTGTTGGCGCCCGCAGGCAAATGCATTTTAGAAAACCAAAAAAAATTTAGAAAAATAAATACAATCAGAACACATATCAATGAGTTCAAACTACAATATTCAGATTCATAAACAGAAAAAACAATTTACAATGTCTAGCTCATTAAAGAATGATGATACAGAGGGCACCTGCTTGTTAACAATATTCAAGTCTATACCAAAAAATTAACCAGAGTCAAATCCTAAAGAAAAATGTGAAGGGGGGTGTTGGCGCCCGCAGGCAATTGCATTTTAGAAAACCAAAAAAAAATTTAGAAAAAAAAATACAATCAGAACACATATCAATGAGTTCAAACTACAATATTCAGATTCATAAACAGAAAAAACAATTTACAATGTCTAGCTCATTAAAGAATGATGATACTGCAGAGGGCACCTGCTTGTTAACAATATTCAAGTCTATACCAAAAAATTAACCAGAGTCAAATTCCTAAAGAAAAATGTGAAGGGGGGTGTTGGCGCCCGCAGGCAAATGCATTTTAGAAAACAAAAAAAAAAATTAGAAAAAATTATACAGTAGGCAAACACATTACAGAGTTCAAAATAAAATGTCCAGAATCTTAAACAGAAAAAACAATATTGCCAATGATTAGCTCATTAAGGAATGATGATACAGAGGGCACCTGCTTGTTAACAATATTCAAGTCTATACCAAAAAATTAACCAGAGTCAAATCCTAAAGAAAAATGTGAAGGGGGGTGTTGGCGCCCGCAGGCAATTGCATTTTAGAAAACCAAAAAAAAATTTAGAAAAAAAAATACAATCAGAACACATATCAATAAGTTCAAACTACAATATTCAGATTCATAAACAGAAAAAACAATTTACAATGTTTAGCTCATTAAAGAATGATGATACAGAGGGCACCTGCTTGTTAACAATATTCAAGTCTATACCAAAAAATTAACCAGAGACAAATCCTAAAGAAAAATGTGAAGGGGGGTGTTGGCGCCCGCAGGCAAATGCATTTAGAAAACCAAAAAAAAATTTAGAAAAATGTATACAGTAGGAAAACACATAAAAGAGTTCAAAATAAAATGTCCAGAATCTTAAACAGAAAAAACAATACTGCCAATGATTAGCTCATTAAAGAATGATGATACAGAGGGCACCTGCTTGTTAACAATATTCAAGTCTATACAAAAAATTCAACTAGAGTCAAATTCCTAAAAAAAAAATTGAAGGGGAGTGTTGGCGCCCGCAGGCAATTGCATTTTAGAAAACCAAAAAAAAATTTAGAAAAAAAAATACAATCAGAACACATATCAATAAGTTCAAACTACAATATTCAGATTCATAAACAGAAAAAACAATTTACAATGTCTAGCTCATTAAAGAATGATGATACAGAGGGCACCTTCTTGTTAACAATATTCAATTCTATACCAAAAAATTAACCAGAGTCAAATCCTAAAGAAAAATGTGAAGGGGGGTGTTGGCGCCCGCAGGCAATTGCATTTTAGAAAACCAAAAAAAAATTTAGAAAAAGAAATACAATCAGAACACATATCAATAAGTTCAAACTACAATATTCAGATTCATAAACAGAAAAAACAATTTACAATGTTTAGCTCATTAAAGAATGATGATACAGAGGGCACCTGCTTGTTAACAATATTCAAGTCTATACCAAAAATTAACCAGAGTCAAATCCTAAAGAAAAATGTGAAGGGGGGTGTTGGCGCCCGCAGGCAATTGCATTTTAGAAAACCAAAAAAAAATTTAGAAAAAAAAATACAATCAGAACACATATCAATAAGTTCAAACTACAATATTCAGATTCATAAACAGAAAAAACAATTTACAATGTTTAGCTCATTAAAGAATGATGATACAGAGGGCACCTGCTTGTTAACAATATTCAAGTCTATACCAAAAAATTAACCAGAGTCAAATCCTAAAGAAAAATGTGAAGGGGGGTGTTGGCGCCCGCAGGCAATTGCATTTTAGAAAACCAAAAAAAAATTTTGAAAAAATTATACAATCAGACCACATAGGTATCAATGATCAAATAGCTCGTTTAAAAACGTTTGTACAAAAAGATCTACTAGAGTAAAATGAATTGAAAAAATTAGATTACGAGGAACCCATGTGAATTAACACTAAACAAAAGAATACGCTAGAAGGTACATTTTAACTACAACCCAAAAACTAGGTATTGCTTACATTATAATAAACGAATAGTTATTATGATCAGAGGTGTATCACTGTAATATATGTATTAGAAAACGCATAAAAATGAATGTAATTTATTAAGGATGCAAAATAATTAAATGAGAAAAAGGTCCTTTACGGACTCTACCATGTGATTGTAATTTATGAAGAACATAAAATAAAGTTTAATTTAAAATAATATTAAGTTATACATTTTATATTTAAAAATTAATAAGTATTAAAAATCTTATAAAAAAATAATAAAATAATATTTTATTGTATTTAAAATACATATTATTATTAGTTCGTTGTGGTAAAAAAATCATTAATTAAAGTTGGCTGTATTTAAGTTTTTAATTATACTGGTACAACTCTAGCTGGCAGTCTTTAAGACCGTGTTAAAAACTATGATAATTAGTTAACGTCTATTTTCCTCTCCTATCCTAACCTAACCTAAAATAACCATTATTTAAATATTTTCTTTCATTGTTATGTTTACAATATCGAATACCTTGATAGTTAGTAGGAAAAGATCATTGCAAAGCTCACGACCAGTGATGATAGTCGTCTATCATCACCATTGGATCCACTAACCATAATAGGTTTACCTAATTAACCCTCTTATGACTTATTAGGACACTTTGAATAAAAAGATCTTGAGTCGGTTGCCGAACTTAAGTGTTTGACTATCAAGTTTTTCCTTTGATTTTTGATACCTTAAGCTTATACCAAATATTATGGATGGAGCCCTACCTAGCTCACTTGCTCGTGTAAACCATTTGAAGCACATATATGCCACGAGTCTTTGACAATTTTATGGATACATATCAAATTATCTTTGCACAATATTATTTCAATCTAACATTATTATTACCTAGTATTATTATTTTATAATATTTTTTTATTTTTTTTAACACTATAATATATATATTATTATAATTCTTTTTTTAAAATTATGTATCCTTAAATACCCTGATATTAATATGCCAGCCACCTTTAAGTTTTCTCTATATAAAAAGTAAAATTTAAGACAGAACGATTTAAATTCAAGTCACGACAGTCTCTCTTTTATACTTTTAACAAAAGAAATGATATAAATACTATTTTTGATCTAACATAATCAGACGACCGCGCACGTCTATCTAATATAACTTATTAGTATTGTACATTTCGTAATAAGTTTTTTTTTTTTAATGATTTTTTTTTTTTTTTTGAGCTTGAGCTTGAGCTTGAGCCCAGCAACTTTGACCATTAGCTGGTTTTTTTGCTTTTAGGTTGTTTGTAGTGAGTAGTAACGGTTGGTTAAAACACGTTAGTATGTGTGGCAACTATTTGTTGCTAAAAATTCCGGGTGGTCACCCATCCGGGATCTAGTAACAGCGGCCGATACGTACACTTAACACCTTTCCGCAATTATAATGTCCAGATATTCACACTAAGCCAAAGAATATTGACGTTAATACAAATCTTGTACTAATGTCTCTCCACCTAGTGAGCTGGCGACAGGGCACGTCGCTCTTTTAGAACAATTATCTATTAGGTACTCACTAGTGAGCTGGCGACAGGGCACGTCGCTCTTTTAGAACAATTATCTATTAGGTACTCAATTAAGTCTTTAGATTTACAAATGATTTATATTTTGTAGACGGGATAATTTTAAAGAGAGACTGTGTGAAGTACAGATTATTGTGCATCCAATAAATATGTGGTTTGCTGTGTACATTTAAACATTTGTTATAATATTCTATGCATTTGAACATTTATTGCAATATACGACTATTGTATATTATTTCAATATAAATTTTTATTTTACACCAACTATAGTATTATCAAAGTCAAATTAGAAAAAAATTGTAAAACTATTATATGTAAAAAAAAAAAATTATTTATATATTTTCTATTGTCTTTGAGCGAAACAAATCATATTTATGAAAAGTAAATTATTTTTTAATTTGGTATAGGATTTATATCTATATAAATTAAATATCGAACAAGTAGTTTTTATGCTAACTATTTAAATTTTAAAGCTTATATGAGCAGAGTAGTTGAATAACAATTTTGCAAGGTTCATTGCATTTAGAATGTAGATATTAGTTCAATCAAACCCCGCAAATGTACCTATTACATATGAAATAACTGTACTTAACCTACTATGATATTTTTTTTATAAAGAAATTAAAAGTAAAAACTCAAATTTGGAAATTATAGGTACAGTACTTAATACATTTTCCTTTATTTTAACAGAAATTATTTAGTTAAAAATATAGAAATATCTATATGTACAGCGGGACTTATATAAGCATAGTGTACATTGTTAGAGAACCCAAAGAAAATATAGTCCAAAAATATGTAAAAAAATATAAGTATATAATATAAAAATTACTATACATTAGTTATAAATTTATTTATTTTATACAGCATCGTAGAAAATATAGGTACCTTATTATTATATTAATAAACTTTCAATATTTAAAATGGTATTATACATAAATTATTGTTTCTTATTGATAAATTAAAACTGTTATTGATTCTTACAGAAAGGTTTAATGGGTTGTATAAAAATGTATAACAACCATACACATAGCATCAACACAGCAGAAAGCCTTAGATATTTACCAGCTAATAATGATGTAAAAAACTTATTTTATGAGTATTTTGAAAATGGTATATTCATAGCTGAAGCTCAAAAATATCACGAACAGTGTCGACCTCCATTAGGAGAAAATACTACAGTAAAAAAAAAAAAAAACCGAAACCTTGGATTGAACATAAACTTAGACCAAACAAATGCTATAAGTCATAGACCTTTTTAAAGTTTTAATATTCAATATTAATACATTTTACACTTTTAATATATTTTGTTATAGGTTGAAGACTTGAATTTTTAATTCACATTTTAAAATATTTTAACTATTATAATATGTATACACTATACATTTTAGATTCTGAACGAAGTGATGAATATATTGATTTTATAATGATGTGTTTTTTTTATATATTATTATATATTATTTACAATTATTTCAATTATTTTTTATTTTTAGTTACCATAACCAACCTTAAGGGTCTTAAATACATAACAACATTTTAACAACATTATAATATATTAATTATTGAATATTATAATAAATAATTAAAAAATTAATAATTCTTTTTTTGGAAATACAATTTTCGTGATAACGGATAATTGATAGCGAAGTCGTTATCTCATTGGGACTAGAGCCAATTGTAGGACTGTATTTCCTTTGGGTTCTCTAGCAATGTACTCTATGCTTATATGCCAGCGGGACATGGGACACACTAAGATACGGTCCATAGTTCATAGTTTTGTTCCATTTATAATAATAATGCTTTGTAATAACTATAATAAAGTTTGCTTAATGATTTATAATAATAATGCTTTGTAATAACTATAATAAAGTTTGCTTAATGATTTATTTGAAGTATTTGTATGTATTTTTGGGAGATCAGTATTATTGCAACACTGTTGTCCGTTACCAATACGAGTCTCACTGCACCCCAGTTTCGCCTATACAGCTGATAAATCATTACTTATTACCAGGGCTGTGAACTAAATGCATTTGCATATTTGTTTGATACTCAGTATAAAAACTATAAGATAATGGATACGGCCAAAATTTGTTTTGATTTATTTATAGTTTAAACACAAAATCTTATTTAGCATATAGGTAACTTAATGGGTTGGGTAAGTAATTACATGTTTACTTCGTCACCTAGCTAGTATGTAAATCAAACATTTATTTTTTTTGTACAAATACAAAATTCAATGTCTATATTTTGGGTTAAGGCATTATAATTTATAATTTATATTTATTAATTTCAATAGTTTTTTAATAATGGTTTTTTTTATAGAGAATTTTATCGAATAATTTTAGTGCATATTTTTTTTTTTTAATGCATTCAATTCACAGCCCTGCTTATTACTTTAACTTCCAATCAAACCACTACCACAGTTAATGTTAAACATCAACAATTAACAGCTTCTTAACAGTGCTTGAATTGGAAAAAAAATAGAAGGGGGATGCAAAAGTATAAAAGATATGTGCGTCCCCGAACATTTAAATGTCTTACTGTTAGTGGTAGCATATGTCCCCCTCCCGCTACAATGACATTTTACACCATACAGCAATAAACAAATATTCCTTTTTATTTAAAAATTAAAAATAAAATATTGTAAAATACATAATAATAATTGTTATTTGTTTTATAAATTTAAATATGCCCATAAATGTTTATATGAATGATCTATGTCATGTTCGTCTCGTTTTGGACATCTTGTTTCTTCTGCACTTCTTTTACCCGTTTTAATCCAACTTTTTACATAGTGGTCTGGTTTAAACAATTGAACAGGTGGTCCAACACAACTAATAAACACTAATGATGCTATGTGTTCAGAAGTTAGTACGTTTCTTTTAGGCGTTATTATGTTGTTCATGGAACTAAATGATCTTTCACATTCAGATGAAGATACAGCAATAGTAGAAATTGCAGTTAAAAGTGGTTTTAATGTTGGTATTTTTGAGGAATCTTTCAAGTCTTTAAAGTCTCTAAATCCTCGAATTGCGGATACTTCATTTAAGTAGTCTAGGTTTAAGACATATTATATACATATCTATGGTATTAAAAAAAAATTGACCTATAATAAATTCCAAATTAATCATAGGTATCTCAATATCCATTAGGTACTTATAACACGTTATACAGCAATAAAAAACCCTGATACTATCATAGATATATAATATAGTGTACTTAAGAAGTTTCAAGTACCCACGAATAGTATTATACACTCACAACAAAATAACTAAAATAGGTATGCTAGGTTTTTTAATATGTAATTTCGTCCCAAATTTGAACTTAAAATAACCATAAAAATAAACTGTGCTTGTGTATTTTTTAGATTTTTTGGTAAGGTAATTAACTACTTACGTGGAATCTTGTTTTAAATTTTCAATCCTTAGCTATATAAACTGAACATTTTATAATTTATTAATTACGATGATTGATAATTTTCGAGATTTTGATAAATTTTGTCAAAATGCGATCTTTAAATGCTTATAGAAAAAAATTGTGCCTATGTATTTTTAATATTTTTCAATTGCTATTGTAACAATATATCAGGAGCATTGTATTAATTTTTTACACTTTTTGGCCCAACAGATAAAACTTTATTGATATTTATAGAAAAAAAAAACTAAAAAAATTGAAAACTAAAAAGGTCCGTAAACGGCTCAAAAAGAGTCAAAATATTTTCAAAATTGTATGGTGTATAGGAAATGCTATTATAAACATTCAGTGAAATTTTCATGTATCTACAGTTATTCGTTTTGAATTACAACAAAATAAGGAAATCGCCACATAAGAAATCGAGTGAATATCCAATGTTGTAAAAATTTGAATTTCAAACGCTCATAAAAATTTAATTTGACTTTCTTATAGAATTTTTTTTTTTGATAAATGTAGGAAATCTTATAAGGAATCTTGTATTACATTTTCATATCTAAGATTTAAAAAGAAAAATTTTTATGAATTTCTAACTCGAAATAATTTGCAAATTTTCGTGATTTTTCCATATTTTGTCATTTTTGAACTTTAAATGCTTAAAAAAAAAACTGTGACTAACGATTTTTAATATTTTTCAAATGCCATTGTAACAATATAGTAGGAGCCTTGTATTAAATTTTCAAGTATTTTTACTCAACATAAATTATCAAATTAATTTTTATTGATATTCATAAAAAAAAAAACTAATAAAATTGGAAACTGAAAATGTCCCTAAACAGTTCAAAATAAATCAAAATATTTTGAAAATGTTATCGTGTATAGAAAATGCAAATATAAACAACCACTGAAAATTTCATGTATCTACGGTCATTTGTTTTAAAGTTACACCAAAAACCAAAATCGATTTTCTCGAAAACAGATTTTGTGTAAAAATTCCCGTTTTTCCTTAATTTTTCTTTTGTTTTTCCCAGCGCTTTTGAAAACTACTGTGAAATTTAAATTTTAACCTCCCCAATGCACCAACGATATTCACCTTCCAATCGAACAAGATACTGAAGTTGAAAATCGAAGCATTATTTCGACTACTTATCGTGTACACAGATACAAAAAAAAAAAATAGATAAATAAAAAAAAAAAAACATACATAATTGTAAAATCAATACATTCATCGTTTCAATCAGAATCTAAAATAAAAATATTTCCATTAATTTAGTACCTACAATTTTTAAAATGATTCCCGTCCCCAGCGTCCCATTAAAAGAAATTAGAAGGGGTACGCTAAAATATTTTTAAAATAGAAGTGGGACTCCGTCCCCCCGCGTCCCCCCCCAATTCAACCACTGCTTCTTAAGCTTCACACTAAACCGTGTCGTGTAAAATAATCACGGTCACCACAGTTACCAAACGATACACATATATTCAACTATGCGGTATCGTTTGGTAACTGTGGTAACCGTGATTATTTTACACGACACGGTGTAGTGTGAACCCCCCCCGCCCCGCCCCCGCCCCCCTTTACTTGATAACACTTAAGAGGATGTCTTTTTAGTGCACTATTTATTTCCATCTCTGACCCACGCACAATCATAAGCGCAACCCCCGACAACTTGTAATAACCCCCACCCCAAAAAAAATAAATTATTCAATTGTTTCGTAATATATTAATAAACTTTTTTAAAATTCTACTGAAACTCTTAATTTTTGTTTTTTTATTAGGTATATTATTATTGTGAAGAATCAAACTTGAAAATAAGAAATTTCTTTTTTTTAATAGTTTTTATATTTTCAAATTAATATTTTTATAGTGGTGTGAGGGCAACGCCCTCACGTGTTACTTTTTGTTTAATATCAGCTGATGATGACTACAGCCTCCATTTAAGCAATAGTTGCCCAACTGTTTATTAATTATAAAAATATATATATATTGTAATTTTTTTAGTAGACATTAAATATTATTTTTTTTGTGTGTCTTTGAATTTGTTTAATTATTTATAAGCATTTTAAATTTTAATTATTTACACTCTAGTAAGTCATAACTTATATAATAATTTTAAAATGTCATAAAGTGGCCAACGTACTTCGCTAAGTAGTACGTTGGCTACTTGATGCAATCAATACAGATCCGCATCATTTTTTTATTAGGCTATAAGCCCGCCCCTAGACCCAACCCCCCTCATCCCCCAATAGCGCCTATGATGTTACCTCGCGTGGGTCAAAGATGGAAACAAATAGTGCACTGACATCCCAACCGGCAACCAACCGATCTTTTTATTCTATCCCATAAGTCTAGGTTGTAAACCTACCGCCGGTAGTTTCAGCCAAAGAGTCGAGTGGCCTTTGCAATTCGAGATCCTTTCCTACGTATTCGGTATTGTCAACCTAACTATTCTACCTTCACACTTTTTCTTCCCCCTTCTCACACAACTATACAGGTTCAGCCACCCTCTTTTCCTGCACCTCCATAATATCATCTGTTCTACCCATCACTTCTTCAGTCTTCTCACCTCTCACTTTCCCCCTAATTTACCTACATCTGTTAGCTTCTCTCACTACCACTTATCATACAGTGACCGAACCACCTCAACCTAGTCTCTCTTGTTTTCACTTAAATATGTCACTCCTATACACTACATTTAATTAATCAATATCTTATTCTATCCTCTTTTGTCCCTTACACACTCAACTTGACATTCTCATATCTGCTACTCTCACTCCACTTACCTACCCTAACCTAACATTTCTTTTTCGCATTTCCCTTTCATACGCCAAACACTCTGAAATCCTAATGACCTCTTTCCTTATCTTGGCCACATCATACACTTCCTAATTCCTATTCACTCAGTCTCTAGTTACCTACAAGTCATCGTACTTGATTATCGGTGAAAATATTTAAATAATTAAACGAATTATCTACTCAAAAGAATTAGTACCTACATACCAAAAAATATCATAGATACCTGACCAATTTCCTAATTTTTATCACGACTTTATTGATAGCCAGAATAGCGTTATACCAGTATTGAGTTAGTAGGTAACAATACAAATAATTGAAAAGTTTCGGGCAATACAACCCTGATCGATTAACTATAATAAAAAGAAACCTACTGAAAAATAAGAAAATACATACCCCGTGTCCGAATCAAAATCTGCTATAAAACTTAGTCTTCGAAATACTACAACGTTCACACATTTCAGTCTGCTTACGGTATATTATTCCTAGTTGACAAATCTTCACTGACGAATTAAATACCATTTCTGAAAAAACACGCAGCCTGCAGTAAAATATTCAACAATATTCTTATGACCTAAACGTTACAGATATTATATTTTATATGTATAATGTTTAATCTGTATTATACATTTATACCTACTTAACTATTATGTGTTAGTTTGTTTTTTAGAGCCGACTACGGGAGCAATGAATGTTTTGATTTTACAATGATGTGTATATGATTCTCGTAAAAAATTTTCTTATTTTGTTGTTATTCAACAACTATTAACCGTCGATATTTAAAATGTCCATCGAATTTTTAAGCTATCATTTTCTATACATCATAAAATTTTCAAAATATTTTGACTCGTTTTCAGTGATTTATATACATTTGAATTATGAAATGTTTTTAGTTCTGTATTCTATAAATATCAATACAATTTTATTCGTTGGGTCAGAAAGCTTAAAAATAATTTTAAGTTCCTCGTAAGTTGATATAATATCAGTTAAAAAAAATTAGAAATAAATAGGCAGGTCTTTTTACATATATTTCTATAAATTAAACCAAAACATATGTCTTTTTCAAATAAACAATTTTCATATTCACCTATTAATTACAATTATTCTACGACCGGGGACTGGAAAAACAATTTATAAAATATGCGTCTACAATAACACATTTTTCGGGGCATTAAATATTTATCTTAATTCTTAAAAGTAAATTTAAGCCCCAAAAGTATATGAAAACAAATTTACTTTAAACATCGATTCTTTCGGCGGAATCCGTGACGTGTGTCCACTACGAGGCTGACGAGGAAAATTTCCATAATAATATACAGAACTTCAAATATTGTGATTTATGAAAAATAAAATTATACGGAACGCAGTAAGTTTTTTGCACATATCTGCTTTGCTTATTGAAATTTTGGAATTTTTAATGACGACTGTGTCCTCTGCAATGACTGAGATTAACCATGGAATATAAATGATAGATATTATACTAGGTACGTCAATATGATGAATCCACGGATATCATATAGGTAACGCAACTTTTTATGACAAAGAGTTCCGTGTTAAGGAACAATATTTGTTCGTTGAAATTTTATATTATGACAAAAATCAAAATAGTTTATAATAATTAGGTATCAAATATGATATATTATTTGAATCTTTATTTTCGTTTATTAATTTAATTATTTATTAATATGGTGAATAGATATCTGCAGAAGTACAAGCATATTTTTATAAAAGCGTATTGTATTTTATAAATCATTAAATAAAAATGTGATTACTGGATTTTAGGTAACATAAAGGTATACTCAGTAAGTTCATCAAATTTACAGTATCGGCTATAATACCAACTAGATTCTAAAATTTCAAATCTAACATTTTCTATGAATACTGCTGCAGATCACAAAATTATTAATTATTATTCAATATTATGAAAATTTTAATTGTATCGGGGACCTATAATTTGTATTTTAGATTCTGAGTGAAACGATGAATATTTTGATTTTACTATGATGTGTATTTAATTTTTCATTTTTTTTTTCATTTTTTCTTTGTTGTGTTTGATGTGTACACGATAAGTAGGTAGTCAAATTCGACCTTCGTTTTCCATGCATAATATATTATAGGTACCTACTCCGTATGTAATCAATGATCATATTGTTTATTTTTAATTCAATTTTTGTAGAAAAGTGTTTTGTGTAGGCATAATAAATGTTACATTAAAATTTAAAAAATTCAAAAATTAGAATATAGGCACTACAGTTTCCAGCTTCTACTACAACATTACGTTATATTATGTTTTTAATTATTAAAATGCCTAAAAAGTAAACGTAAATCCCAAAATAATATGAAAACAAACTTACCCTTAAACATCGACTCTTCCGGTGAAACCTAGCTAGAGTGCATCAACAATGCAAACGTCCAGTACGTGAAGCCACCGAAAATACAGCTATCTTCATCTCGTTCCGAATTGTAACTTGATATTATCGAAATATTTTATGAAAATTACCTGAACATAACGAAATATGCGAATTCGTGTTAAAATTTACATTATAATATATACTGCTTAACGAACTATCTGTATATTACATTAATGGCTTATTATTTTTTTTTTCACTAAAATTATTAGAATGGTTAATAGTCGCAGACGAATATCGACAATTGGCGATTGCCATAGATGATATAAAATATATTATTTAATATGATAAATCCATAGAACTTCTACACTCAACACACATACACGGTCTATTGATACACCGTGTGTTCTTTTACAGAAATCTTTGTGGTCTGCAAAGTATTCTTGTTTTCTATTTCAGTTATTTATCGCATACTAAATTTAACCAAACAAAGTAGTTCACAAGTTTATAGACATCACAAATATATACTACAAATTATAATTTATAGTAGTATATATCTGTGATAGTCATTCTAATATCGTATGCATTCTCCCGCAGGAGGCCATACTCCATAGACCCAGTTCAGGGGAAGTTATATTTTTACCTACAAATTCTTAAAAATTCTAATATATAATTGACATAAAATAAGAATTAAATAAAAACAGTTTTATTGATCCTAATCTTTGAAAAAACCATTGGGAATAAAAACAATTAAACATAAAATACTATATACATAACAAATACAATTTTTATTTATTATTATACCTACGCATTAAATCAATGGTGTCCAAAGTTGAACTGCTTCTTTAAACTTATCAATGCTACTTTCTGATTTTTTTTTAACTAGGTACCTAACTTGTGTTCATTAAATTTAAATTGTATACTAATTTATATAGTGTACAAAATTTATAATCACCCAACTTCAATACCATTATGACACAATGTTTTGTGACTATTATCAGTTTTGAATTATGAACATTGAGGTTTTGAATATAAATCGTTTACCTTGATTATACTACCGAATTGGCGGTACCTATATAATAAATATATCGACCTGTTCTAGTGTTTGACCAATGTGGCAATGTGTCTGGTTTTTTCGTTCGAAATATAGGTACGTACATTATTTTGTAACAGTTACAAAGTTACCACGGTTTAAGATAGAATTTCATCTTAAACCGTGAAAGTTACACAATTAACTAACAGTAATATACTGTTCTCAATTTATCAATTCACCTCGCAAGTCCAAAGTTACCATATTTTACTTGTTACGATATAACAAAGATCAACAATGTTTATGGATTACCCTTACACATAGACAAATTGCCTGACTAGTGTTTAGTGTTTACTCAATTTTTTTTTATTTAAATGGCTTGTTGATAAAATTATGTAAAATTATTATTACAGTTCTTGCATACATTTATTATTGAAATTACTATAGCAAAATGTCTTCAACGCTCCTTGTAAAAATGTCAAACTTAAAAGTTAAAGGCGTTGGGACAATGAACTTTACGAATTTCTAACTGATATGGCGGCATTAGAGGTGTCACCCATTTTGCACAAAATGTTTGGAAAAAATGTTTATTTGTTAAAAAGCAACACTGTATTTAAAATGTTTGATGTTTGAACGTTTGATAACGTGAATTTGACTTTTTTTTTTTCTCTGCCGATGGATTTGTATATTCAGAATTCTTATCTAATAAATAATACCTATTGCCTATATTATAATATAATATTATAATACCTACTGGAACTTTACTGTTGACTTAAATACGTTTTTTGTGAATTTCTAATAAGACATTTATTGACATTTTAATTCATTAGTGAACGCTTAACAAATAAGAAATGGCCGCAGTTGAATCACTTGTAAAAGTCGAAGAAAAACCTGTTAACAGAGAAAAGGTAAATATTAATACTTAAAATACCTAATATCGGTTTACCAATAAATATAAATATTTTATCATTTCAGACTTGCCCATTATTATTAAGAGTATTCTGTGCAATGGGACATCATAATAATTTATCGGAATACTATCGTGGCGCTGTGCCTGGGAATGAACTTCAAATATATACATGGTACATATTGCCTATAGGCTAAAGTAATAACTTTTCTTCTTCTCTCACAACTATATGGGGTTAGCCACCCAAGGGTGTATATATGGTATATATATATATACCTATTTATATATATGGTCTTATATCTCCACAGGGATCTATCTCTTGCACATCGCCTTAGTCCTTACTAACAAACTATTTACATCTTATTCAACTAAGCATAAAACAATATTGAATTTCATTCGTTTTTAGGATGGATGCTACTCTACGCGAATTGACTGGCCTGATTAAAGAGGTAAACATTGAGTCTCGAGTCCGTGGAACAACATTTGATTTTGTTCTAGTATCACCAGAATATAATTGCCCAAGGTTCAATGCATTCGAAATCGGCCTTACTGTTGCTGGAAATAGATCGCCAGATGATTCAAAAACATTAGGGAACACAAGGTATATGGAAGTTACAATAAATATACATTTTTAAAGCACTAAAACAGGGTCTTGAAACTTATAATCAAAGACTCCACAACCTTTACATTTTTGGGCTAAAGCATTTACAATCACATTTAAATTTTTTAGCTTAAAATAAATGCAATGAACATGCAATGGATAACTTACTTTTAGATTATTTTCTGTAGTTTGCATGCTTGTAAAAACTAGTCTGTGGGCTGTAGTTTGAAAAACCTTACTTTAAAATGTTCATTATACATAACACCCAAATCATAATATAAACGTATATCTACTTACTTTTAATAAATTAACTAAGGTAATTGAAAGAACATAATTTAAGTGTTATAATATAAACTAGCTGACACGGCAATGCTGTTGCTAGGCTTTTGTGATTATGCGAGCAGTATATTATCAGGTAGGCAATCCACCTGCAGTGTATCACTTACCCTGCTTGGTGCGTATGTATGTGTATAGTTTAAATCTTAAGTATCAAACAATCAATTAATACAAAATTCTAATCTAACCATGGCTCATAAGTTCATGCATTTTCATGTTTATCAACGTTTTTGAACGACTACATTAGTTTTATGCGTTTATTACTCAGTACCTCAGAAACGTGACTACATTTCTTAACTTGAACTGAGTGTATAGGAAATTATTAGGTCCTACAATGACCGTCAAGTTGAAGAATGAAAAATATGTTGATACCTGAGAGGGTTAATTTTTGAGGAAATCTTACTAATACAAAAGCTATTAAAAAATTATGATTATAATTATGTTTTCACTAATTATTACAACCATATATTTTGATAAACTATTTTGTGAAAAACTTTTCAGCTTAAATATTATTGTACATCAAAAATTACTTTTCTATAAATCCCCGTAGATATTGAAGCATGTGGGTATTTTCCAGTATATAATTTGAGATAATAAATCATCGGAAATTCAGCATATTCGAAAACTCTTCTCTGTGAACATGTTCAAAATTGATAATTCAACTAAAAAAAAAAGTGAAAAGGAATAAAACAGGCCAAAATGAAGTTTATTCCATAGTTATAATGTATTAATTGAATGCATATTTCAAGATTTTTTAATAAAATAAGTACATAGGTTCAACACTGATACTCTTTTAATGTATTGATAATTATGTTACAGATTTGCTATTGGTGATTATTTAGATGTTTGCATAACTCCTCCAGAGCGTTTCATGAGAAGACCAGCACCAATGCGTTACCGTAAATAAGTATATTTTTAATATTTGTGATTCTCTATTAATAATAAATGTCAACATTTTTTTAGATTTTTATATGAACCTCATTTTGCTATATTTTGTTTAATTTTTTACTGAATAACTACTATAAAAAAAAAATATTTAATATATTTATGAAGATAAATAACAAATAATAATGTAATATAAGTCAATGGTTCTGTTACAATTCTTAAACTTTAATAAAAATTAAAAATAAATAAATAACAGATATATAATCATAGTTATTTTATTAATACTATTATACATTACAGCAAACTCGTTAAATTTCTGTTACTAACATTTTATAGTAAGTTTGGGAATGTGATACGCATAAACTACAAAATGTTGATTCTGCTAAAGAAATGCCTGTTATTTAGATAAATCTGAAATTGGGATTTGAGAGTTGCTTGTAAATATATGTCATTATATACTGTATACTCATTGATACAATTTTTTAATGATTATTAGTTATTACATTATCTTGTTAGCTTGTAAATGCAAAGTATGAAGTTATCGTTATATTTTAAAGAAAAAATTGAACACATTACGACTATTGATTATTATTATGAATATTGTACATAATAAAGGATGAACCAATTATCCATTAGACATTTTTTCACGAATCAAGTCATTAAAAATATGAAACTTTAAATGAAAGACCACTAACCTATAAGAAACGCCAATATATTTTTATTGAGAATTCATTTTTTGTTTTTCTTTCAGTTAAAAAAAAAAAACCTTTCACTCATTGAACAATAATTTGGTATCCTTTATATACAATAAGAAACCATCTCAGCTCAGAAAAAATGCCATGTTCAATTGAAGTCAATAATATTTAGAATACATGGATTGAATTGGTCAGCAAAATACTAATTTCCATATGAAACAATAAGTTTATTATTTATCATAATGTTAAACTTATAAAACGTACTTAAATGTACTAACAAATATAATATATATTAGTGTATTCAGTGTGTAGTATACTAATATCTATATTTTACAGATTAAATCATTTTTCATACAAAAGTTTGCAATTTGTATTTTTTTTTTTAAATTTGTATCATAAGTAAAATAAATAAAAAAATTTAAGTAATAAATGTGCTGATTGATGTTTAACAAGTAATACTTTAATATTTTTAATTTGTTTGATTTTCAACTCTCCCTTTAAACTAATCATGTTCTAAAATGTGATTTTATGTCTATTGTATCTTTACTAAATAGAATCTTCTTCTCAGGCTGCCAAGTCTACATTACAGTGGAACTTATTAATTTTAAATAACAAACCTTATACTCCCCCATCCTCAAAAAAAAAAAATTCACAATTGGGATATTCATGATAGTTGAATATTATGTCCATAATGTTATTAGATTTCTTGTACTAGTGGTTGAAACCTATTTGTCTAGTAATTATTTTTCATAATATGATACATAAAAATGATGATCTTATGGCGTTGTAGACAACTAATGGCTGAAATGCTTATAACCGGAAACTAAGTTAAAACGTTTCGCTACATGCAATTATAAAGGATAACTTAAAACGCATCAATTTGAAATAATATGAAAAATGTAGATAATATTCTAACATTGTGTCAATATATAGATCATCTCTACGTATGTGGATAATTCTATAGACAAAATAGATTTTATTTTCAAAACATTTAGTCCCTCACACCTTTCAAAAAAAAAACACAATTTTTCTTTGGTTTACATTCAATTATGCTGGCTTTACCATAGCAGTTATAATATCCCCAACTTTCCAAAACTATATACCTGTATTTGTTTATACAATAATGAATTAGCGTGTAAAAAAAATAACCATCAGATTTTCACATTGCACAGATTGCACTTTTTCCGACAATTCACTACTGGAATGTTGAGTCACCGAACCACTGAATGAATAAAAATACAGTACACTCAAGTGACGTAGTATTAGACACATGTACTCATTTACAGTCCATCGGAGGTAGTTAAGAGTAAATTAATAATAAATATATTCATTGTTCCAGATATTAGGTAATAATAATACACGAAGAAACAATGTCATTTATATATTATATTAGGTATAATCTATAAATAACTAAGCAAACTTATATTATATTATATACTACAATAATATGGTGCCCACGTCTTACTTACAAATAAAATACTAACTAATTATTGGCTAACATTACAAGTTTACAAGGTTTGTTGAAGTAGAATTAAATTTAAAATCTACACAAATTATTATAATAGGTTAATTATTTAAATGTAACGTCTCAATATTTAAAAATACACAGGCAATTTATCAGAATATCCTAATTTTAATATGTTTAACAACCAGACAAAATGACTTATAACATTGCTAGCTTTTTGGTTTAAACATTTTGGGTTGGTAATTTTACAAATAATACTAATCACTGCAAAAGGTACTGTTCGAATAAATTAATATAATTTATTACATCAATTTGTTCATTTTAATTGGTAATGTAACGTCATATCAAAGTGTTAATCATATAAAATAATAATTTATAACAGTCTTCTTGTTTTGAAATAAATTATTTTATATCATCTATAATTTACAATACATCAGCACACAGTTTTATGATAAGATGAAATAATTTTATTGTGTTTGAATGATTTTCACAATAACAATAAATAGCATATATAATACAAACTATATTAAAGTTGTCAATCATAAGAAGAAATAAACCTATTAAGTGTAGTAGTATTAAATAGAAATATTATTATACAATTTGACGGACCCATTTTATTTAACTGTAGCACATTTAATAATAATGTTAAAAATAAACATTAAATTCTAGTTTCCTAAATGTATATAGTCGAAAACCATTCGATTAGGAATAATGTAATTAAATAATCTAGACAAATCTTGGAACAATCATCAAAATATATAATTAATAATTATAATAAAAATAGGACTGCAAAACAATTAGGTTACAAGATACCTAAAGGTTAGGTTACATATCTTACTAAAAACTCTCGATATAATTATGACCCAAGATAAAGCCTATGATAATCATTGGCTCCAAATGTTGCATTGCATTTGGGACATTTTCTTTGTCTCGTCTCATAACGAGTACGTAAACAATCCCAACAAAAAACATGAAAACATTTGGTCAGTACTGCATCTTTTCGTTTAACTTTGCAAGATGGACAGGTAAGTGTTTCTTTATACTCTCTAATTTCTTCCACCATAACTTCATCTAACGTACCGGCTTGTTCAATTTTTTTCATACGTTCAGTTTTCCGCCTTAATTGTACTATTTCTTCCTGTAATGTTTAACAATAAAATTAAGTTTTACAGTTCCTACCAATGATATCTATAAAATTAATAAGAAACTGTTTATAAGATTAAAAAAATAGAATATAGTGCACTCATTATGAATCATTTTAAAAATATAATACAATACCTAACAGAGTTATTACAATGTGTATAAGCTAAGAACGGTTACAATTAATTAGATAAGATATAGATATAATCGACATCTTAACATATGAAACATAAGTTTTGTCTCAATTTTACCAAAGCATAACTAAGCAAATTTTGTACTCAGAATAATTAATTTAACTCTGTTATTTTAATATTAGGATGAATTAGTCTAAATTAGTTTAAATGTAAAATTATTATCTGGGGTAAACAAAGGAATTTTTGGATATTATAATTTTGAAGCATTTTAACATTTTGATGTGCTCATAAATTGGTTCAAGATTGAAATATAAAACACAAACAACTATGTAGAAAAAATATGATAATCTCTAGATAATATTCTTATCTTTGAGTTCAATAAATAATAAAACGGTAATTAGCTTTAAATATATGATTATAACATTTTCTAGGTTGTGCCTTTTGTTGTAAGATGGAAATAGAAAATGCAGATATGACTTTTACCTGAAGCCTTTTGGTTTGTATGCGTCAGCCTCAAGGGCACTGGTGTTTTTCCGTTACAACTTGTTGTGCTTCTTTCATTTGTGCGTGATATTGTCTTTAACATAATATATAATATGAAATAAGATATTGTATCACAGTACCACATATAATTTAAATAAAATAATTTATTACCTAGATGTAGTTTTAAATCGGCAGCAGACTGAGCACTTTCAATTGCTTTCGTTTGTGCATTTCCATAGCCTGTTGTCTAATTGAACATTCCTGTTCAAACTGTTGCTAAAGAATTTTGCAAATACGCTCTTGTTCTTCTAATTTACGAACTACTGTGTTTGTCATCTCTACTTGATTTGTTAAAGTTTTAATCTAAATTATCAATCACAAAACTTCATTATTTTAAATTTTTATTCAATGTAAATAAGTTGAAACTAACCAATTCTTTGAGAGTATCAGTTTCTTCGCGAGCCATTTTATGTAATTGATTAGACTTTATACGTTCAGTCATTAATTTAAAATTAGCATCATCTTTTCACCGCAATTGTTGAATTAATCTAGATTTTGTTCTTGCATATCTTCAAATGCTTGACCTGTCACTTCCATTTCACTTAGCATCGCTTCTTCTTCCTAAAAAAATAATTTAATTAATTTTCTGCTTTAGAACAGTATTTAAAATGAAATCATACTTGTTTATGAGTAGCAACTTGTTTTTGGAGTTGAACAATATGTTCTTCCAATTGTTTGATTTTTCGTAAGGCATCTTCATCAGCTAGTTTCTTGCGTTCTTCGCGTTTGCCTTCCTAAAGTAAGTAAAAATATCAATGTAGTGACATTAAAATTAATAAGAACTCATTTTGAAATATCTTACTTGTATTTTTTTTAAGGCCTGCTTTGCTTCTTCAAGTTCTGCTCGAAGTTTTTTTTCAGCTGCCATTAATTGAACTTTATCTCTTTGGTCTTTACTAACTCCTTTATACATGTCTAATAATAATTTCATTTCTTTTTGATCATTTACAGATTTTCTGTAATATAAACACATTATTAAAATATATAATACTTAGTACCAATACTAGACTCAATATAGTAAATATACGTAGAATCATAGGCGCACATTGGGTGTGAATTTAGGGGGTGCTGGAATAATTTATGGTTCACAGATCCGTGGGAGGCTTTGCCCCCCACACCCCCCTAAATCCTAATATTTCTGAATTGCATTAGATTTAATTTATATAGTGTATACAATAATATATAAAGTGCAATGTATCAAATAGTCTGTATGATTGTACAGAGCACGCTAGGTACACCCACATGTGTTGTCTCCGTATTACAAATGTAGATTGTAGGTACAACATAGGCAAAACTGTTTTGCAAGGGTATAAAAAACATTCAGGCTGTACTCTAAGCTAAGAAACTAAATGTTCACACTATAAAAATGAGAACATTTACTGTGTAACTTTGTTTTTATATTTCATAAAATTTGAAAACAATATATTAGGAGCCTTCTATTATATTTTTAAGCTTTTATACCCAACAAATAAAATTTTATTGATACTTATAGAAAAAAATACTAAAAAAATGGAAACTAAAAATGTCCATAAAAACCTCAAAATAACTCAAAATATTTAGAAAATTTTATCATGCATAGAAAATGGAAATATAAATAACCAGTAAGATAATATAATTTTCTATAATGATATGATATAATATGATTGCTACATACTGTTTAATGTTTTGACAAAAACTGAAACACTGAAACATGCATTCACACAATACTATTTTAATCGTGAATTCGTAAACAGTTGTCAATATTTGTAATAAAAAGAAAAATTCCGAACCAATAAACCACGATAGTTTATAAATGATTGGTGAAATACCGAAATAAACTGAGGGTGCTAGTTTGAAGCTTGGGGGTGCTAAGCACCCCCAAGCACCCCCCTATGTGCGCCTATGCGTAGAATACATAAGAAAATAACAATAAAAAGCAGTAAAGTATCGAATATAGATACATACAGGGTAAGTAACTTATGTATCAACTATTTTTTCATATATAATGATATGTACTTACTTAAGTTGAGATTTCAAATCTCTGAGTGCTTCACTTTCCCAATTCCTAACAACGTCTTTTTGGTTGACAGGCTTTTGATCTGGAGTAGTTGCTGGACCCGTTGATGTTTTATTAGGTGTTTGTTGTCCGTCTCTTATCTGTTCTTTTTTAACATTTTTGATATCAATTTTTTCATCGATTTGAACATTTTCATCCATTAACTGAGATATACCCTTAAAAAATAAAAATAAATAGTTAGTTAAACAAATTAGTTAAATTAAATAAATAATTTACTTCTAAATCTTCTTCTTTCTTCATAATAACTTGAGATAATGAAAATTCTTCTTTAATATTTTCATTTACTCCACATTCATCTTCTTTGCAAGATTCTAATAATCCTTCTTTTGAATCTAGGACAGGGGTTGTAATTTGTTGACCTAACTTTAATTTAATGTCTTCAAGTTCTTTCTTTAACTGTAAAAATAAAAAATAATTACATTTTTAAACTTAATTCCAAACAGTGGCATGGTGAAGTGTTAAAATACTCCAGGCAAAATATTTCTAGAAATACCCATGCCATCAGTACTTATATTTAGTTACAAGATAATATTCATTTTTTATTTGACACACCATGTAACATTTTGTTCATATTTAATAATTATTAATTATTATTTGACTTGAAGGCTAACCATAAAGCTATACATATATTTAATATAACATAATTATAAGTAAAGAGTAATTATTAATTGCTTTTTACTTCTTTAGTAAATACTCTTTTAGGTTTTATACAATCTTGCCTCCTTGCCCTAACAACCTACAAATAAATTCATTAAAACAAAGTAACCACCACTAAAAACACATGGTTACCACCATCACACCACTGATTCTAAATTAAGTTTATAAATTATAACAATTAATTAAATTTTACCTTTGGTACTTCTGCATTGGCATCTTTATATTTACGCTTATATCTATGCAATTCACCCTTAAGCTGATTATTATGATTTTGTAATGATGAAAGTAAATGTCTCATTTCTCGATTTATGGGTCCAGTTTGTTCATTAGCAGCTAAATTCTGTTCAAATTCAATACGTAACATTTCATATTCTTTACGCAATTGAGCATTGACATCTTCAGAATTCATCAATTCTGAACGTAATTTCTTTTGAGCTGATAATTCATCACTCTATCAAAATTAATGTTATATAATGAGTACAATATAAAACATTTAAAGCATAGTTTTTAAAAAAAAGGTGGGTAAGTGGTTGTTCTTCTGCTGTAAGTTAGCTTATAAGTGGACATAATGGATAGTATTAAATTTGAATTCAATGATATAATATCATTGTATACGAAAACCTACGATTTTTCAGTGTGGATATTTTATTTTATATTTATATTGTTATAACTTATTAGTTATTATTAATACCGTAGTCAGTATGTTGAATTAATATTATAAATTAATTGGTTATTTAAAATGTAATTTTATTCAAATTTGAACATAAAATTACTACAAAAAAAACTGTTATTTTATATCTTTGAGATTTTTTGGTTACAGAATAAATTACTTTGTGGAACCTTGTTATAAATCAAATTCAAATATCTTTTGGTAGTGTTATAAATAGTTATTTTATTATTTAAAATTGTCGCATTTTTAGACAGAATAACTTACCTCCATCACTTCCATTTGGCGCAAATGAGTATTTTTACTGTTTTGAAGCAAACCAGTTGATTCAAGTAGTTGATTTCTCATTAACATAAATTCACTGTACAACACAGAAAAATGTGATTGGATACATTTATATTCTGTTGTGTCAATGATTACGTTTTCAGGAAGTTGCCTTAGCTAAAGTACAAACAAAAGTTTATAATTTAATACTTAAATATAATATATATAATAGTATTGATAATCTAGCACCCTCAGTAACAATATTCAAAAATACTTACATCCATTCTTAATCTTTCTACTTCCATTAAAGCCTCCCTATGTTGTTGATGTAACTTATCAAGTTCTTGGAGTCTGTTATTATTCAACTCTCTTAGTTCTTCATTTTCTTTTTGAAATTCTTCTACCTAAATTATCATACAATATTTAATAAATAATATTGGATTTAAAATATAAGTATGTTAAAATTTTATTATAACACGTTAGCTGCAACTGTCAGCTATAGCAGACAAATAAATATTTTCACACTTTTTTATGTTTTCACTACAGTAATGTTTTAATTACATAGAGTAAAGAATATAACACAATTTTAACGTGTCACAATTAAATTTAACACAAGAAATTTGTCAAATAATTAATGCCTGATAATGTAAAAATCCCTGATACATAGGTATTTTATTATATTATAATAAAAGATTCACTACTGTGTAAATTATATATTACAATATAAATAAATAATTATTAAATAATCATCAGGCCTTATACATTGGCATATTATATTATAAAATCTATTTTAATATAATATGAACCAAAATTCATTAATTTTAGTAATACAAAAATTTGTTTTTGTTCTATTCTCTATCATTTATTTGAGTTAATTTAAATAACAAATAAATAAATGGTACTATTTCTAACTAAGTTAGAAGAGGTTTTTTTTTATATATGATAACATATTTTAAAATAATGTCAATTATACCACATACCTTTTGTAGTGATACACTTGATTGTGCAATTGATGTATCTGGTTTCGAAATAACTCTGTCATCAATTTGCATTGCTTCCAATCCTTTTAACTTATCTCTTGAATCTGCTAAATGTGTTTCCAATTTATAATTTCGATCAAGAATTTTTTGATATTCATATTGCAACTCTTCAATCTGATTTCGCATTTCAGCAACTTCTGTTTCTTTGCAGTTTACATTGTCTTGTAAGCCTGCCAACTAAAATAATAACAAAATATACATAAATAACCATATTATACATTTTATTTACATCAAAGTTTAAATAAATATTTTTTAAAACTAAACTATCTACATATAATACAATATGTCCCGTGAATAAATGACCAGCTTTCGTCATATGATAGTATACCTTAAGTTATGATAAAAAAACCCTTTTAAAGGGTGAGTCTGACACGGTACGCAGCGGCAACCAGAACAAAGTATAGGCACCGCAGCGACTGGTCTGCACTTTTGTCAACAGCCACCACAGGCTACGACAGTACGACACCGCCGACTCACCCACGAGGAGGGATGGGAAGGCAAGTCGAGCAAAGCGAGAACCGGCCACAGGCGGCTTCTTTCTCTTACGTTGACCGTCTTAAAGACAACGTCACCTCTCCGCACAACGAGACCACACGGAAAACATCTCTGTACTTTACGCTTTTTGGACCACTGTAAAATAATACGGTAATTATTTTGTTTTTATTTTATATAGTTGCGACTCAGTTTGTTCTTTATTTTGTTAAATTGTGAGTTGTGTTACTACTTCTCCTTCAATCCACACCCACACACATACACAGCGACCGACCTACCGCGGACAGCATTACATTCCATCACACCGCTGTAGCCATGTCAAGTCTAACTTTTTTATTTTTTCAGTTATGGACAATCCAAAATTTTTATAAGCAAACCGAAGTTACCACACATTTTATGATTTATCTTCAAAACTTTTCAACATTTATCGTAATATATTTTTTATTTTAAAGCTATGTCATTATGCTATCAACTAACAAACATAATCAAACCAGAAATGTACAAATTATTTTCATTAAATTAAAAAAGTAATAAATACGGCGTTATTTGGAGTTTACTTGATTTCCTTTTAAAAATGCTAATTTTATCAATTTAATAAAAATAATTTGTATATTTCAGGTTTGATTGTGCACGTTAGCTGAATAGCACAATAAAATAGCTTTAAAAATAACAAAACAAAATTATGATAAAAAGTTGAACCAGTTTTGAAGATACGTCAGTAAAATGTAACCAAAAAAGTTAGACCCTCACCCTCGTTTTTTTTTCCATAACTTAAGGTATACCGTATACTTTCATATGACGCCAGCCGGTCACTTCTTCAAGGGACACAATATTGTATATAATTTATAATCAAAGTTATCACCTTCAATGACATTGTATGATACTTTTTATGTAAAGAGGTATTTAATGTTTGCAACTTCTGATTCTCAGCTTGAAGTTCACTATTTGCTTGACGAACAGTTTCATCCATATTAGGAGCTTCTTCTATTAAAATTCATAATTATTTGATATATGATTATTATGTCAAAAAAAGTGTAACATGTATGCTACATCTTTATAAAGTAGATAATTATGTAATTAAGTATAACAGCATTAAAATATTATTAATACTGAAATAAATAATTGTCATACATTGAAGACGGTGATATTAGCTAACATGACTAATCGTCATATTTTAGTATTCAGTAAATATATATATTTATATATATATTTTTTTTAATATTTTAATATTTAATAAAAATTGGCATATAAATATCACTCGTTTCAATTAGATTTAAATGTACAATTCATTAAATATTAAGTTTAAATAATTCTTACCTCCTTCTAATTCTCCTTTTAGAGCAAGTGTAATTTTTTCATTCCTTTGCATGAGTCTATCAAAAGCTTGTATAACTTTTGCCACTGCTCGTTTTGATACTTGTACTCGATTAGCTAATTTTTCATCTAATTCTTCCTTATCCCATGTTGATAATTGTACTAAGAATGAAGTTGTAGCTTCACTTTCATCTGAAAATAAATTATTGGGTTAAATATACAAATCTGTTATTTATTTTGAATAAAATTATTATTAAGTAAAATAAAATTACTTTTGCTCTCTAATTCATCAGCTGTTTCAGCATCAAACCTTTGTAATAGTACACGAATATCTTCATTTAATTGATTCCAATAACGATTTACAACATTTAAAACAGAATCATCTTGCGTTTGTCGTTTTTCTAACTGTTCTATTCTATTTCTTAGTTCTGCTTCCAGTCTATTTCTTTGTTCTAATCTCTAAAAGTAAAGGTTTTTGAATAAAATAATTTCTAAGTCTATTTTAATAAAAAATTGTGTTTTTAAAATATTATGCTAACCTGTGCTAGTTTTTTATTTTGGTATTGTAGTACTTTCATATCCAAATCTTCCATGGTAGAAATAGGTCCAAGTCTAACAGGCTCAAACTGAACTTTTTTCATTGGGGGTTCTTCTGAGCCCCCTTCATCATTGTTTCTCTTAGACATTTTAAATTTTGTACGGTCTTATTTAAAATATATTTCCTGAAAAGCAAATTAGGTAAATTTTATTTGTTTCACGGACCACTACTAAATCGTTATATTTATTTCAATCATTGTTTTTTTGTACTTAGTTCAGACATGCTTGACCATTTGGTACTTTCCTGTTATACGAGACTGTTATCGCGACTACCGCTCTCATTTTGTGAAATATCACAATCCGGCTATCTAGGACTACCAAAATGATATTTTCTTGTTATACGAGACTACCTTATTTTTCTTGCCTTCTTTGATATATTTTTTAATAATATGTATTGTGGGAATGGCCAGAATGAAATAAAGAAAAAATTTAAATACATAGTAAATATTTGCAATGTATTTTACATGGTACACGCCAAATTTGCCGCGGCATACAGAAAACAATAAAATAATAATAATACAAAATGGTAAATCCACAAATAAAATAATAAATAATTTATGTATTGTGGCCACATTCAAATTATATAAAAAAAAAATTAAATTAAGATAAAATTTAAATGTATAATAATTATTCGTAATGTACCAAATTTGCCATGGCAAACACCAATCACAAAAACTAATAATATACGTAATGATAGATATATAAGAAATATAATCGCAGCTTATGGATATCATTCAGCTAAGATAGGTAGTCGCTATAATAGCCGTGGTCTCGTATAACAGGAAAATATAATTTTGGTAGTCTTATCTAACAGGATTGTGATGTTGTCAAAAAACAAGGTAGTCTCATATAACAGGAATGTAGGTACCTACCATTTATAAAGAACAACCACATTTACAATTCATATTTAATTTTATTTAATTCCATATTGAGGTACATGATAGTATGATATTAATTTCCATTATACTCCAGTATTAATTTCACTAATCACTAATTTTGTTGCCTACTGTTTATTTGATTTGTTCAGATACATTGGTATATTGAATGAATTATATTTCTAACTAATACTTCTATTGAAAAGTACTAATTATAAATTATTTTACTAATTGCCTGATGGTGATGATTCAAACCAAGATTATAACATTCCAAATGGTTGTCTAGTGTTTCCACATAATATCCAAATGAGAAAATTGAAAAATTAACTTCTTTAAAGTACTATTAAGTTCACATTTGATTTTCTTTTTATAAGTGGTCTAGTGGACAACACAACACATTATACTCATACTACCCAAAAACTCTGTTCATAGAATTAATGATAAAAAATAATTAATATAATTACAAAATAAAAAAATACATTTCTTATTTAGTCGAGACTTACATAAATCTTTATAAATATAATTCTAGAATTTTTATTGGTCCATATTTTAGTGGATGATATTTATAATCAATCAACAGCAATCATTTATAAGTATTGTTTCTAAAAGGAGCATATTATACATAATGTATTTTTGTCGTTTCTAGCTGTTTTTTTGTATAAATTATATCATAAGGGCCAGTTGTACCGTCTACGATTAAACTATGATCAAGCTTAATCAGCTGATAACAGATATTTAACCGGCCAAATTTGGCCGATTAAACTGTGATTACCTTTAATCAGAGACGGTGCAACTGGCCCTAAGAAGGTACTACTATGTTTAAGGGACGATTGTTTAGCTTTCTATTTATTCATTATGTTCAGTGCTGTTAATGCACCCTGACATATTGCAATTAACCAACTTAAAATAAGCAATATATATTATCTTTTAAATAAATACTTATTTTATAACCAAAATTAATAATTATTATAGTGCATTATATTATTATGGTATGTAGCTACCTAAATATTTACTAAATGTAGTAGATTATTATAAAATAACAATAAGTGTTTAGTTTATTATCAACTTTTGCAATAGACATTTAAATACATAATATTGTTATTTAATTTTGTATATTTTCATGTTGTCAACATAGGTCATAGACCTAAAAGTTATAGATAGGAATATAGGTATATATTGCAAATACCTATTATATTGTTTGTGATTTAACATCTAATGAAAAAAAAAGCCAAGTAGTATACCTATTGTAAGAAATAAATTATTCATATCCACAATTTTAATTTTGAAAGCAATTCAATAGCATCGCTTAAACTTTAACTCATTCTTTGTTAAATTCTATAGAATAATAGCTAGGTATTGGATGTAAATAATATATTACCTATTAAATAATTGTTTATTTTTGAACACAAGTATTTCAAATCTAAACTATAACATTTTAACTTTATTATTAAAAATGAAATCGTTGGATACAAATAAGCAATTGAGTTTTGGATTGAATTGAGCTATAATGGAACAACAGTACGAGCAACAATATATAGTTGCATAAATCAATTTAACATCGGAACTAACCTTTTATTAAAGAACAAAATAGGGTACTGCCTAATTTACTGATTTACTGATTTACTGATTTGGGGCCATAGCGCCCGTAGCATGGGCAAACTGAGTCCGAATAAGTTCAAACTTCACAGGTGCCATTATAATACCCCCCTCCAACTCCCTACCAAATTCCAGGTTGCCCCGTCGATTTTCACTTCCGGGTTACTTGTCGCAGAAATATCACAAACTTAAAAACTTAACCAAAAATTATGAAATTTTTTACTCGGCATAAGTTGTACCGTATTTAAATATGGGGAAAATCTCAAGTGCCTACCTCGAAAACCCATGCAGTTATAAGACAAATCAGTAATTTATTCACATACATAATCGAATCAGTAAAATCACGCGCCGCCGTCCAGGAAAACTGCTGTATTGCTCTAAAACCCGCAATAGTATATAGAAAATTATGAAATTTTTTATACGGTATCGGTTGTACCGAATTTAAATACCTTGGAAATTTCAAGTGCCTACCTCGAAAACCCATGTAGTTATAAAACAAATCAGTAATTAATTATTCACATAATCGAATCAGTAAAATCACGCGTAGCAGTGCAGGAAAACTGCTGATTTGCTCTTACACTCGCAATAGTTTATAAAAAATTATGAAATTTTTTACACGGCATGAGTTGTACTGTATTTAAATACTATGGAAATTTCAAGTTCCTACCTCAAAAACCCATTCAGTTATAAATTATAATGCAGTTCAGTAATTTGTTGACATAAACAAATCAGTAAAATGATAAGAATCCTGTATGTTATGTTGCATTACAACATTTCTAGGGCACTTACTAAAATAATGCAATTATTACACATTATAAGAATAATATATATTTTAATATTTAATATGATCATTATAACATAATAATATAGCACTAGACAATGACTTAGGATTTATCTACATCCCTAAAATTAAAATTAAAATTAAAGGTTTGTCATGGGCTAAGGTTAGCTCTTCTTTGGATTTTTTTTTAATTTTGAATGTAGCATTGTACAACTAGTGCATATATTTTAAGTGCATTATTATGACAACTGGCTCGTTTATTATATTGTTAAAATGTTTTTAGAGAATTGAATTATTTGGGAATTTGCCTTCATAATAATGTGTCTTAACATAATATAATAATAATAAATGGGCTGAGCAACTTGTTTTACAAAATATCAATAAATGAAAATCAGTTGTACCTTTTAGTACCTGTAGTGTTTTTACAGTGTTATAAGCGGCAATTTTGGCACCCAAATTTGTATCTCTTGTGTTTGGAAATTAATTATGAGGGTTAGACATTTTTCTCAAATGTACTTCTTACAAAATAAGTCCCTACCTATACAATAGTTACTAAAATAAAGCAACGTATTGCACTTGAGTGTGACTTAGAATTCATCCATATAGATACCTGAAACAAAAAACTCATGCGGTTGTATGTACCTCATTTAAATCAGAGCCGTCATACCCAAATAAGTATAATTATTAATTTCTCTTTATGTGCCAATGAGTATATTATAGTAATTTACACTTTTCATTTTTAAGTTAATCTTTATCATACAATGTACCTAAGTTTCGATATAAAGATGTATGTATAAAGTATGCAGCAATTATTGTTTTTTTTTTACCAATAAATTACAATACTTAATGAATTGTTGCTATATTGCTTTCAAATTGTATGTAATTAAGTCCAGTTTTTATAACAACATATTCAAATTTGGTTTATACAGTTTTTCTAAAATATATTGCTATAATATACCATCACTAAGAAAAGTAATTAATTGAAAGCTTAAGTTTTTGTTTAATTTGTTAAATTGTTAAATATATATAGTCTTGTTTAACCTAAAAGTGTTATAAACTATAATAATTTGTTTAAACTTAAATACAAAACTGCAAAGGCCAAGTCCACATTTTTATGTTTATTCACATGTTCCAAATTTAAAAGAAAATTGTATTTTAACCAATAAAATACCTTATTTCATGGAAATATGGGTGTTTAGTTATTTATTTAATATAATTTTTGTTTAACTAACATCAGAGGTTGCTAAGATTTTACTGAAAATCACCTTAACATGATATTCCTAGTTATGAATACTAATAATTGAGTATTTACTTGGTAAGTCCCCTACATTCTACTAAAAATTGATTAAGTCTTAACTAAGTTTATATGATTCTAACTAAGTTCTATGATTAAGATTAATGCATACAGTCAATGAGTAATGGTATACCATGTTCAGTGTTTTTTTTTAACTAATCATTTTAGATTCTGAGTGGAACGATGAATGTATTGATTTTACAATGATGTGTGTTTTTATATTTTTTTTTATTTTTTTATTTTTGTGTCTGTGTACACGTTAAGTAGTCGAAATAATGCTTCGATTTTCGACTTCAGTATCTTGTTCGATTGGAAAGTGAATATCGTTGGTGCATTGGGGAGGTCAAATTTGAAAATTCCCAGTACTTTTTAAAAGCGCCAAGAAAAACAAAAGAAAAATTAAGGAAAAACGAGAATTTTTACGCAAAATCGATTTTTCGGAAAATTGAATTTGGTATTTGGTGTAACTTTAAAACAAATGACCGTAGATACATGAAATTTTCACTGGTTGTTAATATTTGCATTTTCTATACACGATAACAT